TACTAAGCCAGTCATCACATGATGCCATCGTGTACCATACTTGTTACATTAAAAACGGGTAAGGTGATTCTGAATGGGAAAAGCCAATATGCAATTCTGACATCTCAGACAAAGGTTTTTCTAATTATGAGATTTGTAGCGTTTGATCTTCACTTGTGATAGGCTATCTTTGACAGCTCCAACAATTTGGTCATTTCTTTGAGCAAGTTTACTCGGCTCAGCAAGGCTGTTACACTTAATCACATCTTTCTCATAGTCATCTGGAATTTTCTCTGTGGCTAACCCCTCACACTGTAGACCTACATTCAATATGGCCATGATCCTTTCTATAGGGTTGTGCCAGGAATAATAAGACTCTGTTCGACCAGCACATAAGAGCTCAAAATTGAGCTTGAGAAAAAAGTAAACCAATGGTGGTTGCACGATGGTCTGACCCTCCATCGGAATATAAAAAGAGCACTGATTTAGTAAACAATGCTGACTGCAGCACTTGATACAGCTCGCATGCGTGCCTAAATGGGGATGATGGTTCAAAGATTGTGTCTTTGGGAGAAACGATTGTCCACGATACCAGGAGCCTGAAATTTCAAGTAGTTTATTCATTAAAATCACAGATGGCATATTGGTAAAATCATGATCTGAAACTGTCATAAAATCATTGATGCAAACTGGAACTCGTCTGCCTCGCTCTGCTTCTGCTACTGGGCAACCAGGTTCACCTATTTTGAGTTTATGATTATTATAAAGGCAGACCAATACACAACAATCACGCAATAACAGGGTATACTCGTGTATGTAACGAAATGCTGCTTCTGCCTAGTGTCTTATCAACATTCGAATGGTGCCATTGGCGTTGTTGAATTACGGGCTTCATTCTGAAGGGAAGTGTAGTGAAGGGAAACTCCTGGCAGTTGGTGTTTTGGGCTAAAACTGAAGCCTTGTGCACTCAATACTTAGAATAGGAGTAGCGACAAGGCAAAGACTTTATAATAATCAAATAAATCCCGACCAGCAATATCGATGTCTTCAATCAATTTTGAACATTCTTCCCGAAGTGTCAAACATTGTGGCTTGACCTAAGTTTAGTGCCCGCAGATCTTTAATGATATCAGCATCTTCTGTGTCAACAATTTGTTTGATCTTCTTGTCTATCTCCGTCTGCTCGGCCATTGTAGCTGCTGATTGACCTCCTGCTAACTCCTTGTAGAAGTAACGTAGAAGGTTTTGTAGAAGGTGAAATTCGGCCAAACTTTTGAAACAATGCAGCATGCATTGCACGTAAGACATTTAGGAAGCAGGGTCTTGAAAGATTCGACCACGGGTAAACTCCTTTCAAAGACAGTATATGGATAACTTTCAGTTGGAGCTTTCCAAGTAAAGTGAAATTACCAATGTTATTTCCTGGAAAGTAAACGGAGTATACAAGGAAATCGAAAACCAGTTGCGGTCAATGTTTCTATAGTGCGATGCTTTTTGGTTGGGTTTGACGGTAGAAAGTCGGTAATTAAGCAATATTCAAAATTATCCTTCGGGTACATACATTCCTTAATAGCAACCACAGAAGATGGCGTCATAGTGATGGTTGGAATGGGAATTAATTAATCGAAGGTTGCCTGACAGCTCTCGTAGTGAAACTTTGTAGCTTTATTCTTCTGAGTGAGGTATTCTACATATCCAGTTAAGGAAAGACCAATAACATTCTGTAATAAAAGCACTTTCTTCACTTATAATTTAGAGCTATTAAAAGTCTTAACTGCAATAACTGACATTAGTAAAATCTTTAAAGTATTTTATAATAAATTTCCTAACTTGTTTGAAAGTAAACTTTTTGTTCCTCAATGGCTTAGCGGCAGGTCTCCAGGCCTACAACGCAAAAAATTCGCGTTTCGATACCTGTGGTGAGCAGGACACATCTTTGCGCCTAACAACCAAATCAAAACTCGTAAGGTCTCGCTGTACTTAAATTTTAGTATATCTGGGTCGGAAAGGCTAACTTCAGGCAACTGGTCCTGGCTCAGTTTACCCAGGTCTACTTGAAAGATGGGGGTACCAGGACTATAGTTTGGTTTACAGTTTATAACGTCGTGTATTATCACTAGAATGACACTATAGTTTTGTAATAATTGTGACTGCTAGAACTATGATGGTTATATATTGCAGTTTAAGAAGATGTGAGAGAGGAAAAACGGTTTTATTTTAAGGGGAGAGTAACTATCGTGCCCACACCATGCTGTAGAGGGCGAGTGATTGTGGGACGTTGCCGATTCTAGCACCCAGATTCTAATCCCTTGTTGAATCTTTAGTTTGCTTACTAGTTTTTCATCTGTGTTGGTTATCTGATAGACTGAATATCTAATGTTTTTGGGTGCTGTAGCCACAGACATTTTTACTTTGTAATTTTACATTGTTTTGTTATAGCTTTGCTGGTGCGTAAATTCATAATAAAGAATTTTTTTTTTTGGTAGAATGTTATTTTCATTGAATCAAAACTCAAATATGGTTATAACATAATGTGCTAAATTCTGAAACTATACTATATTTATTCAAAATTTGACTTTTTGTTATATTTTACTTAACTAAACCTTGTGTCGTGTATCCGTTTTGCTTTCCTAAACTTCCAAACCTACTTTTTGTTAAAAATCAATAATTCGTATTTAAAGAATGACGTACGCCCTCTGCAACAACTAACAATCAACAAAGCATGCTACTGCACATGCTCAATTCTTTATTGAGGTTGGATCATTTGTTGGCGTCGCGTTGCCATTTTAAAATTTCAACTATTAAAATTACAAGAACACGCTTGTTCATATTGGCTATAAAATATTCAGTGATCTAACCACATTTAATCAATAAAATGTTATGGACGGAATAAATTAATCATTAACAAAATGGAATACGTAGAAAAATGTAATCTTTAATGTTAACAAATGTTTAAAGTTGCAACATTAAGGTTAAGTTTTCAAATATTGTTCTAACCAACCCAACAATGTTTTAAATAATACAAACTGACATTTTTTTATTAAATTTTATTAATGATTATTCTTAAATAAAATAGAGCATCAACAGAATGCACGGCGTCACTACATTGTATTATAATGAATTAGAAAATACCTTTATTTATATATACATAAACGTCTTTTTTCAAATATGCCGTCATATATACGTCAGCTTATTATTCATTGGTTGAGTGCTTATCCTAGCTTCCCAATGCGCTGCACCCAGCTTACTTAATACAAGGCCATTTCTTTTTTCTTAATCTCAGTATCAACCCAGCTGACTCCAAGGTTGAACACCAGGCGCTAAAAACCGGTCTTTACGGTTAATCCTGATCTCGCATGGTAAGCAATACTTAGCCTTGTGACATGATATAAAACAGGAAACTTTTACTGGTCTTATTTATCTTTATGATAAAATTTACCTTATTATTATTATTTAGATGCTTTTGAACATACGTCTGACAACGACAATTTAAACTGTCTCCAGGAGTCAGATTATAAGTCTTGTTAGTTTAGAAAATAGTACTTTGGTTCTAATGACGTACGAAATTTATGACTTAATGTTCCCTACTTGTAGTTCATAAAGTATTAATTACACGTTCAAGTATTACAGTAAACATCTTACCATTTGTGAAAGACTTCAATCGTTTCACTTACCTTTCAAATTTTCTTAACATGTAACAAATTGAATACTACTAATTAATTTACTGATGTCATCAATTACTAGTTATCTTGTATTCATACGATATAAATGACATTCATAAAGCAAACTGTAAAATAAGCGTACCATATTCTGGAAATCGAGGTGATTTTGGGCTACAGGAAAGGCTCATTAACACCATAGCGGCCATACATTCATCCATAACATCACCATCTTCAACAGAAGTTGGACGTCGCTTCCGTCCACTGAAATAATATATAGTAAAAATCACACTTAAAGTGTATTAGAAAAAATTACATTTTTTTTCCTTAAAATTTATATGAAACGAAAAAGATGAGCAGGTAGTTAAATATAAATTAGTATTTAAGTTCGACTGAAACTCCTTGTAAACAACAACAAAAAATCTGGAATCTAATAGTCATCAACGTTTTCAATTGCAAAGACAAAGGGGGGGGGGGTTACATGAGCATTTACATCATTCACGATGTTATCGAGTTAACACTTTTTTTTTTTTAATGGATGTTAGTATTCTTAGAATGTTAATCAAAAATGCGTAAAGTAACTTGTATAACATTTAGTCAATTATTGGCCTGGCTTTCAATGGAAAATCTCCAAGCATGCGCACACCGTATGTTACACATACAGTTGGTCGTATGACAAGCACATGAAATGCACGTAAATAAGTGTCGTTAAGACGTAGACAACATTAGTAATTCTGAGAAAAGGTATGGATTGTATGCAGTTTTGAAGCTGTATAATATATTATCAGCCGAAGTTTTTTTTCTGAACGTTTCTTAATGTTGTAATACAACTGTACAAAAAGGAGATAAAAACTTGTTCAAAATTATTTCAACGTTTTAATTTCTTTTCTAACGTAGAAACTGTTTTGTGTACTATATTGAATAAAATTGTTATATATAGTTAGGAATCTGATCACTGATTTTTAGTAGCACTATATTGTAAATATAATAACTAAATTCAGTCATATTGGAATTGATTCAGTGATTGAAAACTGTTTGCTAAACTATATCAATTTAAAATGCTCCCACTTTTCGAAAAGCAGTCGAGGAATATCGACAGATTGGGCATTTGGTTTGTCTCTTGATCTATGTACCAAATTTAGACTTGATAATATAGCTAGGTTTAAATTTGTATACAGCTTTCGGTGGAAAGCTAGAAATTTCCGTATGTTCGAATACGTACTACGTTTTGACCACTTGGGTGCTCATTGTCAACGCAGAACAATTGAAATTGAATATTATAAAAACTTGTATGAGGCACGAGTAAGCATATGCAAAATTGAAGATGAAAAACGTTCAATCTTCAATATAATAGGTATTTCAGAAAATAAGTTACTTTGGTCGGAAATGTTTTAAGCTTTCAAAACGTGACCCTTTTAAAGGGATCGTGGCGTGTCCGAACCGATGTCACAATATAAGACTGATCATAATTTTAATCACCACATTCGGTGACATTTCTAACGAGTTTATTACAACTTCCGAGTAAAGAGATTATATAAATATAACATGTATTATACAATTTGTAGCGCAGCAGGCCGTAATGTTGACTACATCTTTCTCTAGACCTCATCAGAAGTTTCAAGCCTTCGTATGTTGCTATAAATAATGTCTTGGTGTCGTAGTATAAATGCTCTACGTACTATCTTATGTTGTAAACCAGTCGGCGCACGCTTTTGTCAGTAACAAACTTTTTTAATGTAAAAGTAACATTTATCGAGAAAGTTGCGTGCTTTAACGCCGCCAAAAACTTAATTCGTGATCACTGATATATGAATTTATGTGTTGTATTGCTAAACTTCCCATCAGAGCTAGCTACTTGGATAAAAAAAAAAAATCTGAGTTCTGAGTATATCTAAGGAAATGTACTTTTCTTGCGTTCTTATACATTGTTCTATCACTTTTGTAGTCTCTATGTTGACGTCATTTCTTTATTAGTTAACTATATGCAGCGATTATTATGCAAATATCACTTGGCAGCTGGAAGGGTAGCGAGCATTATATGATATTCTTCTTATTAAGAAAAAACAAATCTCGTAATCTAAATCATAGCTGTCATAATCTTTTTTACGTTTTGTTTCTTAATGTGTGACATTTTCTGTCTCTGAACAATTTTACGAACGGTTATCGTTCCTCGTTTAGAATTTTTTTTTTTAGTAAACTATTCTTTCCACCCCTCAAAGAAATGTGGACTAGCTAGCAGAAAATCAGCTGATATACAGTGAAATTCCTTTTTATTATATTGACTTTGTCTGTACAAAGGCGATTTTTCTACACGGCTATGCGGTTCATGCAGTATTTCTAGAATGACAGCGAATAAGCTTGACGCCAAATAGTGAGTCAAAAGTAAACTAAACTACAACTTTATTAATAGTAGTGCGAAAAATGCCCCCAATATCGCGCATTTTTAATAGGGAATCTAATAAGATTCTCAGTTTTTTATTAATATTTTAAGTAGACTGAATATAACTTGACAGTTAGCACTCGCTCTGGTTAGACAGTGGAAAGTATTTAAAAAAAAAAAAAAAGTTGAATTATAGTATTTCAAATAAATGCTAAATCTCCTAAAGTCTAAACAATACTTGTATGAACCATCGTTTTATAATATAAATACCTCTTTGTTTTTGTTCTTTAAAAACATCTTAAGTATCCTCTAAGTGACAAAATTGAAAGATTACTAAACTTTACTTTCTTTTTTACTGAAAGATGACACACAGACAGACACAGGAAAGAAAGGTTTAACATTTTAAAAACGAGTCAAACCTTTGAGCTAATGGGACATCAATGGTTAAAGATGAGGTTCTCCTACGAGGTTCTTGTCCTTCAGCTAAACGGGAGTAGTCTTTGTCGTTATCCAAAAGCCTAACTGATTTTCGGCTTTCAAGCAGTCGAATTTCTTCGAGTTTCTTTTTTACTTCCACGGAGCGTGTTAAATGGCAATTGTATGATGAGGGTTGTATAGTCAGGATAACTTGGTCGATTTTTGGTCGATGGTGAACTACAGTTCCCATAACCTCACGTCCATTAAATGTGACGTAAACATTTTGACCATTCTTAAGTTTTACACATGTGATATTTTGGAAATTTGGGCCAATAAGTTCGTTTGATCGATATTCGCGAGTAGGCTGGTTTTTGTCATCAAACAAAACGCAGTATATAGTTTCTTTGCTCCCTACCTCAGTTTTTGTTGCATGTATTATTCCGGGAGAAAACCGCCCATCTTCTGAGGGAGCACAAACTCGCATACCTATAATTGATCTTTTAGCTAAACGCTTTCCTGTCGACATCCTTGAATATAGTATACAATTTTAATTATTCCCTGAAATCTACGTCACGAAGTGTTGTATATTGCATACTCTTGTGGAATTATCAACTGACAGTATATTAATACTAACAGAAAGAAATCTCGGGTAGTTTTGCCCTTAAGCTTAACGGTATCATATCAGCTGGTTGTTTACTTTGTTCATACGACCGGCTTTAGATACCGACGTACACCATGTGATAAAGGCTTACTGCTATTGGTGTAATTGGTAAAATAACGCGCTATGATTGGTTACTTGAACACCAACGCCTGTTTTCCGTCTCTGTTGCTTCCGTCGTCAAGTTCTTAATTCTGGGCTACTACTGCCAAACAAGTTGTAATTATACGAAAAATGATAAATTGGAAGCAAATAATGCCATTATCTGTTTGATGCTAAATAATTAAACTTTATACGAAAATCAGTATTTGATTAAGTAGAGAAACTTAATGCGATTAAAACTTTCAACAACGACGATGACAATGTATACATGTTTACATTGAATAATTTTGCTGTTCGCTTCCCCTTAATACAAGGTTTTACTATCTATATGCTTTTGTACTAGTTTATAATAAATGTTTCTTCGGATTTGAAATTTATATGCTTTACTTACAATATGTGTATATACTTCTGACGGAAATTTATTATTTTTCATGTATATACACATACATACTGTATGAAAGGTAAACGAAAGAACAGCCTATGACATAATTACCTCGCTTCTTGTTTTCTTTTTCTCATTGGTTCATCTTGTGTACAAAATGGCTGCTGCTTTTCTGCGACTGTTGACAAATGTTTGGTCGGCAGCATGTTTACAGCTATTATTTCTTCACTTTCCTGTTGAAATTTTTCACTGAAAATGTCGATACAGTTGAGTTCTATGATGGTAATGCAATAATGTTACTGTGAGTGTCACTGCTCAAGAACTTGATGATACATGAACATCAAATATCTTTATCAAGTTCTCTTAAGACTAAGTTAAGCCTAAGTTACAGAATATATACACTAATATAGTCAAAACAGCCGAATTCATTGGCGATGTTATGTTCGATATCTTGGTTCTAGTATGTTAACCTCTACTAATGTTTACTACAGCAATTTTCAAATATATATTGTTTCAGCAACCCAAACTTAATTTCAAAATACTACCTTTTTTTGTAATACTAATATCACCAGGACTAACTTCCACACAACTGAATTCAGCTGCATACTGTGCATATTTTGAATTTTTTTTTTTCATATAATAAAATTTGTATGACAAATTAAGTGCAATTACTGTACTTAAATAGCTAAACTAGGTTAGGCTTTAGTGCAAATTATTGCATACATTATATGTCTACAGATAATTGAGATATATATATATTAAAATATTCATTGAAAGGTTTTCCCATTGATTATACTAATTAACCTTCGAAACAAGCAACTTCCCTGTAAAAGAACGAATTTTTATATTCATAATTATATAGCAGAATTAATACAAGTTTAATGTATCATTGCATGTTATCACACAAAGCACTCCAGTGGTTAATGAAAATTGTAAGTTGGGAGGGCTTCTAAGAGCAAAAATGTTTAGGTTTACAGAAGTTAACCAATTTTCTATACTTTTTTTTCAATCATAGAAATCAAATAGATTTTTCACATTCAGTTTTACTTCACTGACAACTCTGATCAAGTATTACTTTTCCTCTATCAAAACAAAACTATTGCTTCATAATCAGTTCTTTTAACAATGACTTTGGGGACCTTCTGTAAATCATCTTCAGTAAGGTAATAAATAGTAGACCAGCTGTAGTGGGAGGATCACTTGGTGAGGTAGAACAAAGTACAACTTAACTTGTTAGTACCAATGTTAGTTTTAGTTCCAGAGCCACTGGTGTACTGCAAGGATACAGTACATTTGAAGTGAGGGACCTAGTATACCTAAACTGTAAGAATGCCAAATACCAAGTTAGAAGAAAGTTCCAATGCTTCTTGGTAGTCTTTAGGTTTTCATAAGGTTCTATGAACTGTTCCAGTGGCAGATCCACTTTCCTTGATTTTTCTAGCCCTGAACAATGGGTTTTACAGAAGAAACTTGGTAAGATGAGTGATACCAAATTGAACTTTGATGCTGAACTCTCAGCACGTGCTATTACGAAGCATCTTATGTGAGAGGTGTTAATATGACAGCAGATTTATTTGTTGTACATACAAGAATGTATCAAAGTTCATCTAGAGTTTAACATGGATTTCCACTTTCTTTCTGGGGCTGTTCAGCAGTGGAATGTACTTCTTTGTAGCTGGAAAAGATTCACCAATGTCACTAAGAAGCCCAAACTTGACTAATTTCTTACCATTGAGAACTAATCTTAATTGTTAATGTGTATTTTAGGAGTAAAATGTATAGTGTTTCCAAAGCTGCCATCTTAAGTAATACTATTTCCTATATTCAATGCCAAAAAATCCCTACAAGGTGTATATAGATGGTTATTCGTGATTTGGGACAGCTCAAATATCTGGTCATCTTGATCAAAATAATTCTCAAAGTTGTAGCTACATGGGCTAAAAAACCCGATCCTCCTGTGGTAACTTGGAGTGAGGGCTACAAGATGTTATGCTGCATGGTTGTATTTCCTTTGTTAATTAAGTTTTTAAAGTGGGGAAATACAATTTTGGACCATCCTGTATTTTAGCTAGAGCACTGTTCTCTTTATGAGGTAGTTAACTTTTAGTTTTCATGTGGAAGTATTCATCATTTGAGTTGTGAACTTGCGTATCATATTTTCAGGATCCATAATATTCCATATACAGTGTAACTGATCTTGTACAAAGTGGTTCTTAGGATTTTATATAAGACTATCACAAATGTAAAACTATCGTTGGTAAAATCACTTTTCTGTGAAGTTGTTTTTTAGAATAGCTCATTTTATGATTCAAGTTCTGTTAGTTCTTATTATTGATTTTTGTTGAATAAGCTTGCAGAGGAGTAAACTTTAACTGTTTTTTAGAAATAGTGCTTCATATGTGATTCGTGAACATAAACCTGAACGACATGATATTTTTTTTCTTCCTCATTAGTGGGTTAATTTGTGTACTTAACTGCATTTCAGTGGTATTGAGTGTAGATAAACTTTTTTTGCTCATTCCTGCTATCAGTTTGTCACATCCACGTAGCTAAAGTTTTAGAAACTTTTTATTAGTGACAGACTAAATCTTTTTTATACTTAATGTGTATTTATAAATCTTGTATAATAAAATTACAAAAATGTTTTTTTAAACTTTTCTAAAAAAGTGTTTACATTTTGAAGATTATCTTCTGTGTCGACAATGTGGACATGATATTACTGAAGCCTCGCATCTGAAGAGTATTGCCAGTAGAATAGCTCTTCATCAACGTAATGATACTATTTTAGGAGTTCGAGGAGTTTTGCTTCAACTTTTTAGGAATCCTGCAGGTATGGGGGGTGGGTGGGGAGATATCATGCATTGTTTGAACTTCACAATTTTTAGTTAATCAACATAAGGTTTATTAAGCAAACTAAGTAACAAAAGTAGGTTAATATTGATACTATCTGTACAAAAATGCATAGATATGAATTTTTAAGTATAGTTCCTTGTCTTAGAACTTGAGAAAAAAACATGGTGATTGGTGTTTGGCTCATTGAGGTCATCCTTCACCACAAAAAAAACAAAACAAAAAAACAAGCATTAGAAAACAGTTGTTACTAGTCACCAAATGGTAAATTTATTTAACTTAAAATAGTTTTAATAGTTTGTAGCTCTATTTCATGCTTATTTGCTTAAAACTAGTCTTGTAATGCAGTTGAACTAACAGCATCTTAAATTCTGTTTGATTTCCACTTCAACAAAAAATCTTTCAGTATATTGGCAAATAAGAAATCTTGCTTTTAAAAGAAATGCCTACAGCTGGCATGAAATGGGAAAATTGAACGTTAGTAAGCTCCAACAGTAACGATTTTTCCCAAAAAACATTCATACATGTGTAATATCAGAACTCTTGCTTGGCAAATGGGCAGAGTTTTAAAGATACTATGTAGCCCCGCTCCATTCATTTGTGCAGACCTGAAAAAATTTATTTACCCTTTAAGTTCCAAGAAACTTTAATAAAAGTTTAACATAACAGCAAATTGACAACGTTTTGTCATCATCAGGTACCCAAAAATCTTGTGTGTGTGTGTGTGTATATGTGTATATGTATATATCTTTTATGCCCATTTAATAATTAATAAATATGTATTTTGTACAATTTGTTTACAGGTATTTTAAATATACTTGTCCTACTTTCACTAAAGATTATTTGTTTATAATAAAAATTATCTAAGATTCCTATGTAGTTAAACGTGGATAATGTTTTGTTGTTGTCTTTCTCTAGATTGACACTAAAACTACTTGCCCTACTTCACTTTCTATTTTTGTAGGAAAGGAATTTGAACTTGTAACAGTTTCCAAAGCTGATGTGATTGGTGTTACTGGTGTAAGTTTATATTGTTATTTGTAAATATTTTTTTTGTTTTAAAATATTAATTCTTGTAGTATGAAACATGTTAAGTATATAAAGTAGGAAGTTAAACTTGTTAGCTTGGTAAATGTACCTGCAGATTTTGTTTATCTGCCACACCAAGTAGACTTCAATGAAGCAGTTAGATATTTTTGAGGTACTTTTACAATTGCTTTAATATTTTTTAGCATTTAACAAGTATAAGAAAACTCTTTTCTAAGTGAACATGTACATGAAGAAATGGCATAAGTAAAAGACTCCTGTGTTACGAAATAAGGTTAAGAGTTAGGAAAGTACAGCTAGCTGGTTAAGTGATATTGAGAATTATGAGTTAGTGACTCATGAGTTAAGTTATTTAAAGGAAGAAAACAAATGCTAGCCACAAGTTACAGATGCTGAGTTAATAGTACGGTAAAGGTTACTAAAGTTTATGATGGCATCTCAAATCGATGCTCTGATGAGAGATCTGTTACTTCAGTGTAGTAGTAGTGCAAATAAAAAAGGCAACCGGAGCACTCTCCATTACAGTAAACAGTTGCTTGAGAGTTTTGGTTTTTGTTTTGGATTAGCCCAGGGAGTGACAGATTGACAGAAAGTGTTAGAACTACTTGTGGGTAGTTGGGAATAATATTTGGAAAGTTGAAAGAAAACATGATTTAAAAACTAGTGTCTTGAGCTAAAAATCAGTTCTCTCCAGGAAGAATTGAGATTCTCTCTGGAGTTGGTGATAATTGAAATTATGAATATGAAAGTGTCCTAGCTGCAACAATTTACCAGGTCATCTGTGTTATAAGTAATGAAAGTATTTCTCTTGTAATCGGTTAATGTGGATTTAGATAGATTCTAAAGAAGGGTACGAGTAAAGTAAAGAAACTTGATGTTATATACGAGTTATAATTATCAATGTTGTTAACTTAAACGTGCTCTTTAGTGAAGAGTTAACAAATGATTAAAAAAATGTATTTTATATCAAATTCAAATAAACTTGATCTATTGTGTTGAATATTAGTCTCAGTTTCTTTTAGTCTAACCGTAAATCTTGGAGTTGGCAACTTGCGAGCTTCACTTGCCACTGCAATCCTCAAATAAATAAAGTTAATGTAAATGACAGTATAGTTGAAACTCCAACTACTAGCCCTAAGGGCACTGTCCATTACATCACAGATGGTTGCCTTTAATGCTTACTCCATTGTTTTTGCTACTGAAGCTCTAATTGGACCAAATAATAATGCCTTTTGTAAGTAGGTGTGCTATGATCCCAGTTGCTAATCTCGAGTTGTTTTTAAACCTGTGTCTATATAATAATTAAGATGGAAAGGAAAGAGTGCTGAAGATTACTTAATTTTTTCTTAGTGGTATGAAGACCACACTTGGTTTCCTGGTTACTCTTGGAAAATTGGAATCTGTCCTCGTTGTGGACAGCATGTTGGATGGTAAGTTTGACCCATTGGTTCATTCAATCGTTAAATGTGTATAAAAGTTTATTCTAAATACATTTCCAAAATTCTCTGTAACAAGAAAACATTTTCTAGTTCAGTTTTGAATACTTCCTTCCTGTTCTTGCTAAAGAACACTTGAATATAGTGTAATATGGTATCTTTTTTATAATCAAAAAGGTATATTAAACTCTGAATTTAAATATTTCCCCTTCATATTAACTCGTAACAGTTCAATCTTATGACCAGAATATTTCAATTTCTTAGATTGTGTATTCACTACATACAATTTCATGCAAGTTTATTTTTAAACTCCATAGGTGACAATATATGTCAAACACGCGTTGGAGAAATATCAAGAAATAAATATTATACGTTTCATAGAATATATTGGAATAAATTATTTCAAGAATATAATGAGAAATGGAAACACTATCTAGTAATTATGTTAAATGTTATTAATAGTGAGCCATATCCAGACTTTAAAGTATTTACTTCATGCATCTTATTTTTGGTTTTAAACTTAATTGTACAGAATTAAAAGTGTAATTTTAGTAAGTAATTTTTCAAATGATGCTTTACATGGTTACAACTTTTAGATGTATAACAAAATTAAGATTGTTCTAAGTTTTGTTTTTTCTTCATAAGATCTAAGAATTGCTTTGTTATTTAATCATTTTGTACTGTGTTCAAAATGCCAGTTATTAAAATGGAGGCTGGTAATATGTTGGGCTGAGTAAGTTCTGGTATCTTAACATGTTTCAAGCTGATGCTTAATATTTTAAAAACTTGTTCATGTTTAAAAATAGAAATGGTGCAAAAATAGATTAATTGCAGAGAAACTAGTTTATTTAAAATGGAAATACTCGTAAGGATGTAGATTACTTTAGTTAGTTTACAAACGAATGAATTTGTGTAAAGTCCTTGAACTGCTACATGCCAGGGGGGGAAGTTTAGCTTGGTAATTGTTAGCTATATTTTGGATGATTAACTTTATATAAGTTATCATTGGTTTAATTACTGGTTGTCATAATCAATTAGTTTTAAACTTTACCCATCACACTAAAGGTCAATGACCTTTGTTAAATCCACTTCTCTACACCTAGTGACCTAAATTACCAGTACTGTGGTAAGCAAGCATTAACGATCATGTTTGTGCATGTAGTTGCACTGTAGATGCAAGTTGACTGCAATGTACAACAGTTCTACATGTGGCTTCAATCATTTACATGCTCTCAACTTAACTAAACTTTCTGGTTAAGTAGAAGTATCAGCATTTTCTGTTTGTTGTAGTTAACATAATGCTCTAAAAACTGTTTCTTTCTTCATCTTATAAGCTTAGTTATGTTCAGCTTGGTGATGGCAAAATATCTCAAATCGTATACTTTTTGAATATTTTTAGTTTATCATATTCAAACATAACATTTCTTAATGAATCTATAGTTATTAGATGTAAACAAATCTCAACCAAGAATATAGTTAACAAAAATGGTCCAACCTTTCAAAGTGACTACCTTTATCAGGCTAGGTACTGTGATAAGTCACTGATAAATCTTGTAAAGTTTTCGTGACTTGTATCTAGGAGTGGTGAGTGCTGCAATTATCAAAGGAAATGTGTTAATGAAATTTCCATCAATTTGAAACTTGCTGGATATATAAAAACAAAACAATGTTTTTATTGATGAAGTATTTTTATATTTTTTTTTAAAGCTAAAATTAGATACCATTAGAATGTTTGTACTAAGTTTATATGCAATTTTAAGTATTTTGACTTTGGTCATTAATATCCCTCGGTAATGTTTTATTATCATTATCCTTTTTAGTCATCTTGCCTTTTTTTTCTTCCTACAACAGAAGAGGTTGGCAACTGGCTTATTATATGAAATTTTATTTTCTAGGTTGTTTCAAGAAATTGATAAAGAAGATGACTCGGCCATTGATTTCATAGGACTAATTATGGAAAAATTAATCCACCAGAGCTGTAAGTATTAGTTTTTTTAATGATTAAACAAGGTGTAATTGGTTTTAATAGTTTCTCCACCTTTAAGAACTGGTTAATGAATTTTTTTGTAGTATCTTGGTTCTTCATTTATGTAATATTTTACCCCAGTAGTTTTGAAATAAGTGTTCAGTTTTTTTTTTAATCTTTCTCGACTAACTATCCTAACATTGTTTTTAAACCTTTCTGATATCTGAACAAAAATTTAAAGCTTCAGTGCTAGACCAACTCTACCATCAGACTGTGCTTGTCAAAAAAAAGTAATATGCATCCACACTGGACGTGTCATGGTGTCTGTCCACAACAGACATGAATTGTAAGCAGTTCAAGACTAATAGTTGTTACTTTCACTGTCTTGTATTACAAGAGTTTACTCCATATTTTCACATTGGAGATAACTGTCAGTTTCTATTATTGAAACAACTTGCTGTATTCCCAGCTTAACTTTTTCCAAATCAATTTTTATTTCTTTGATCCTTTTTATTATTGTTACAACAATAGTCAATTTAACAGTGGCATAGTGCTTAATTTACACGTTAAAGTTTTTCAGTTTAACAGTAAATTTAAAACCATGCGTATAAGGATGTCATGATTAGTGTTAGTGGTAAGAAAATCAGTATGCTGACCATAAGTACTTCTGGATTGGAACCACAGAATTAAGCCATTTAAACTCTTCAAAACAACAACAATAAAAAATTATTTTATGTCAGACATCTGAGTATGTCTGATCCAGTTTGTGCTTTGTTCTCGTAATTATTTTACTTTATTCCATAGGAGGGGGGAAACAATTAATTTGTACTTAACTTCTGAAATGTTTTGAAATAGAAACATTGCATTCTAAAAAGGTAAAATATTTAATGTAGAATAATTATTAGAAAGTACTACTTCAATATATTTACACCAAATCAAAACTTGCAAAAATTTAAAATGTGGATACTAGGTCATAAATGTTTTGATAATAATATGCTTTAAGTGCTTTTATTTACTTGTTTAAATGAAAACAACAAATATTTAATTGCATATTCAGTGATGAGGAACCCACTTTGAGACTAATAATGGCTGGAGACTGCTTGAATGTGTAATGAAGAAAAACTTTAAGTTTAACATAACAGCAAATGTACAACGTTTCTACAAGATTTTGTCATCATCAGGTACAAACGTTGTACATTTGCTGTTATGTTAAAGTTACCCATTCAAGCCGTCTCCAGCCATTTTTAATTGCGTATGTTTTCGATGTTGATTTATGGTTTTACAGATGCAGACTCTCTCATCACTGGTCCTCGCAGCCTTCGTAGCAGATAGGTGGTAACTTGAAGTGTAGCTCCAGCATATATCATTCATCAGGTATACTCTAAATTAATACTGTGCAATATGCATGATCAGAGTGTGTGGGCTTACCCACTGTTATGTACCATTTTCATCTAAAGTTTGCTTTGTTTGTTACAATGTGCCTCAAAGTATTTAATAAAACTGTTTTTGTTTTATAACAAGAGTAAATCTTTGAATAATCAATGTAAATGATTTTAACATCACTTTCAGAAGGTTCCAGTAAAAGCTCTAGTGTTCAAGGGATATCTTACTTTCAGTTTCACCTTACCTGATGTAAAAGAGTGAAATTTGTTTTTTCTTCATCTTCCCTCTTCTTGAGAAGTCAAGAAGCATTATTGAGATTCTAAGTTCTATGAGAACTTAGTTTAGAAATGGAGCTTGTCCAGCACAGTTACTCCATTGCTTTTGTTTGTTGTTAAGTGCAAAGCTTGTGGCATCTTGGATATCCTTTATAGAACTGAAAGGTGGCACCAACAATGGTTTATTGTATTTGGAATTACAGGATTGTTAGAGGTGTTATCTACACAAGTGAAATTTATATGCTAAGATTCTAATCTCCTTGAAAGTAATGATGCATATTTTAAAATAAACAAATATTTCTTATACAAACACATTAAACATACAGCCTAACTAAAATATACTGGTCAAATATTTAAAAATAGGTAAATACTTAAACACTGCAATAAACTAGTTGTGTAAGGTACAGAATTCAATTTTTCAACCTATATTCCTTCATGCTACTTACTTTGCTAAACGGAATTATATAGCTTCATTACTAATGAAGATTTGATGAATGTGAAGATGACTTTATATACATATATTCTAATATCTTGGCCTTACGTTGAGTTGCACATTACTTCCTTTGAATCAGTCAGCAGAACATATCATGTAAGTGTGCAATAACAATGTTTGATAAATTTAAGTTCCTTGAATTAACTCTAAGTTCATATAAGCTAACACATTTTATATATCTGATTTAACTTAACCCTATCACTACGGGTATACTTTACTGCACATGACGCAAGGTTTTAGTGTCTTGCATTCAAACTTTTATTAAATTACTTTGTTTGTTATACTGACTAGAAAAGCATAGAATCTTAGCTAATAATCCATATTTTAATATCATACAAGTTTTAACTTTTTAATTCTACAAGGTTATATTTTTCAAAATCCTCAATTTCCCCCACTGTGACCCACATGACTCATTTTCTCATAGCATGTCATCTTCCCTATTTTATCTCCCACCCCTCAAAAAAAGCAACTTAAATTACTCTCTATAATATCGTCATTATTCAAACAAACCATAATTTATAGTTTTCAATTTTGTTTGGTCACAGAGCTATCGTATCCATCCTGCCACGACAACTTGCAACACCCTTTCTTCAGAATTCTTTAATAGTTCTCTTACGTTTAACTATAACCAATAGAAAGTTGAGGTTTTCATCTATCAAGCGATATATTGTACAACTTTGTTCTCATAGGTTAAATGGTAATTTCACTCGAATACTAACATCGTTCCCATGAGAAAGTTAACGACTAGCTTGAACGAATTTGTAACGACTCTTGTCGCATAGTTAGAAAACTAGATAAATTGAGAGGTGAGGGAATTTGTCTACTTTTTGTATGTTATTTTAGTCTATTGTTTGGTGCATTTAATTAAATAAAAATTAAATGCATTACTCATTTGTATTTTTGTTTTTTAAACATTAACACTCTTTGACAAACAACAGCAAGAAAGAAAAAGATTGGATAAGTATTTTATTTCTTGTTTTTGATCTCTATTTTGTCTAATTATAAAATGTAAAAAAATGGGGAGCCTTTTAGCTTAGGTAAGATTATATAAATAATATTATAATGTTTTACAAGGCGAGCAAGTGAGTAGCTTGTAGGTAATATAATTCATTAGCATGACGTGAGCTTCACATTCCCAGAGCGATTTACAACTTGCAATGGCACGGATAGTAGCTTGACTCAGTTCAAAGGTCAATAAAACAAAATAGTTATAAATAGATGTTTATGGGTTACATACTTGGAGCTACTACAATTTGAAGTCATTCTAGAAAGCAATTTGTGTGTGTGGTTACAAGGTCAGTTGTATTTAATGTTTCCATAAGATGAGGAAAAGTATTTTTAATTTTAACATAAAATAAAGATTTGCCCATGAAAATATTGAGTATTTATTTTTGAATAGTCCATGTACAAAGTAACTTATTTAAATATTTAACTAAAAAAAATTATTTTCTGCATGTGAAAGACTGCCAAATTTTGTGAAGATAGACAGACTATATTGAAAGTTAGTAGTATTAAATGAGTACATAGTGGTCATGGGGTTAGTCAAATTAACCAAGCACATGTTGAGAGTTACAGTAAATTCAGAATCAAGATATTTTAACACATTTAAATAAATCTTATTTACTCGGCCATCTGTGTTTACTGTTTTTCACAACCTCCTTAGTAAGTAAGGTTGGTAATGTTTAACACACAGTACTAGTTACTGTATTCAGTTTTCCAGCGGGCTTAAATTCTGTAGCCTGTTACAGAGTTAAAGTTGTTATTAAATGATAACAATGGAAGTATTGTAACTGTTGCATTGATAAACTTTTTATCTTCTATAACTTATTGTAGGAAACCAAGCACTTAAAATGGGAATTCCCATAACACTTTAGTTACAATACTTTACCAAAACCCAGAGTTCACATGGGTATCAAAGCCAGGTAGACCTACCATTGAAAAATGAGTAACTGGGCGATAATTCAATAAACTTAATTTTTACTTCACACACTTGGCCCTCCCATTAATGGCCTAAAATATAAATTACAAGTATGTTTGCAGAATTTTTTTATTCGTGAATAACAAAAGACAACCTTTTCTATTTTATTTTTATTTATTGGAACAACAACATTGCTTACACGGTTAAGTTGTAGTGTCTAAGCTGGTCTGTAACTTAAATGCTACTACAACAATTTCAGCAACTGATTTTCTACAGCACCTCAATGCGTAATCTGATTTGGAAATAGCATAAAATATAATTCTTGTGTGACAAATATGTAACTTAACACTGAGCTATGATTATTTTAAGAATTAAATGTGAAAATGCCAAGATTAACTTCAAAAACACTCGTCATCTTTAGTTTTTGGAAAAAATCATTCTTAAAAGATGGATCAAACTTTTCTTTTTTCAACAAAGTAAATTCAAATCCACATTCTTTACATTAGAAACTTGTGACTTGTTCTAAAGACAATTCTACTTTACTGATGAAATCCCGTAAAATTAAATTTGTAAATTAATACCCAGAATGTCCACAATAAAGTTTCTCACTAATAGTTTAATTTTTTTTTTTAATTCTTAAAAGATACCTAATCTGATCTTTTAATTTTCTCTCATTAGAACAGTGGTTTCCAAACATTTGTTGCTAGGGGTGTTGCAAGAGTTTTACCAAATGAAGAATAACTAAGAACATAAATTCTACAAAAAATAGTGCACGTCACAGCAGGGTGTTGCACAAATAAAGGTAAGTGGGTTATTGTGTCAGTGAGAGAGAAAAAGTTTGGAAACCACTGCATTATAAAATATCTATGGATTTTTTTTTGAAGGACTAATTTTCTAAAAACTTTGAGCAGTATTTATGCCATATACATAAACTTCATCTTCCACCCTTAACTGTTAATTGTTCCTGCTCTAATGCCTGTTCAGGTTACAAGACATCCTGATATTACTATTAATTCTTTAAAATCTCTAAAGGAATATTGTTTTACAACTTGTTCTTGAGTGTGCATTAAGCTTTACAAATAAAAGCTTCATTCTTTACAGCTATATTGGATATAATGCAAACACACAAGTATAACTTAGTCTAAAGTATTAAAAGAAAACAAAAAAGTTTAAAACTTAAAACTAAAAATAAGTGTACTGGAGTTATAGTTGACCTTTTTGTTCTCAGTTGATCAATAGTGAGTGTGTGTGTTTTGTGTATTTCATACCTACACACACTCCTTCATGAAGAATTAACAAGTTGAAAATCTTCAAATTCCATTTATAAAACTGTGTATGTAAGACTTTCTGTGGAAAAGAACCTAATACTTAACCAACAAGCTTTCATAAATTCAAATATTAGTCTTGCATTGAACTAAATCTTTTTTCCATCTCCCAAACTATGTGAAAATTGAAGTTTTTGCTTCTACTTGTATTTCACTCACACATGTTAATTAAATTTCTTTAAGGTTGATATTTCTGCTGGCAGTAGTAATGACCAGCTAGGTCTGTTACTCAAGTCTATGTACAATTTTTAATGGTAGTTTTCTATCTAATGGGTAAATGCTTGTAAAGAAAAACAATTGTACTATACATTTTAGGTGTTGCAGTACCTGATGTGTCTTGTATAACTTTAAATCACCAAACTATAAAAGCATGATCTTATCACTTTATGCTATTAGGTGGTGTTGCCTAAATTTTTTATTTACAGTTCTTTACCTTATAATCAATAAATAATGTTTTATCCCCTCTTAATTTAAAGAAAACCATTAAATTCTATTTTTATTTAACGTTGTCTTTCATCACTTTCTAATGATGATGATGATCTGTCTGCGTCTCGATGATGATGTAATTTCCTTCTTTCCACAAACCTAATGCAATGAAAAAATAAAACTTCTTTTAAGGATATTTTGTTGATTGGTACTTTGCAAATATACTGGTCAGAACGTGTTCAGAGTGTAATGTGGCTATAATTAACACACTAATTAATTTCATGGGAGTTTATTGTTAGTCTTATAATGCAGCCAAAAGGCAGGGTTGTTGGTTGTTTTTTTTGGGGGGGGGACATTAACCACCTACTGATGCATGATAAAATAAAGATATGAAAAGAAAATTTATTGAATGATAAATTATTATTCCCTTATCAAATATTGCATTTTTCAGTCTGTAGTATTTAATAAGACTAATTTTGGTGACTTCAGTAAGCAATAGAAGAACCTTCTTAAGGCCAAGTTATCTTATGCCAAGTGATGCGACTTGTGTATTAACATACGGTCTTACTGTATTACAAGTTAAACCATTATATCTGAACAAGGTATGATTAAGTGTGACATGCATACTTTGACGGCTCTGCCGTTACTAATGTGTGGATTACTGTAGGCATGTATCTCCATAACATTAACATGTAAGAGTAAAATAAAAAACAAAATCCACATTTAATAGCACTCCAAGAATAATCAATATAGTATACAACAAACTTGTATCCCAAAATGTAAAACTGAATTTGCTTTTTTCTAGTAATGATCCAACTATATATCCATACGCCACAATGCTTACCATAGTTAAGTAAACTTTGAACTCTCTCTAGTCTTACTTAAACTGTTTTCTTTAAGGCTGAGTTTTAAAAATTACTCTAGAATCCAGTTATTTTTTAAAGAAAAAAAATTAACTCTCAGAATGAAATGTTCAACTAAAAATTTTTAATGTTCCTTGTTGTGAGATGGGGTTCACCATCATTCTGTCTCTGTTAAAAGAATGCAGTATCATTCAACATGAACTAACATTAATGGTGATAATTTTGACACTATTAGTAGAAGTTGTAGTTGATTCAATATCCACAGCTCTCTCACATTTGCTTTAAACCAATCAAATTTTGCATATTTATGGTAGCCAGATTTTATGCATGAAAAACTGGAACATATCTGTTGCATTGGGAGTACCTGCCTCACAAGCTAACAGAAAATTTTGAAATATCCATAGAGAAGTGGCGAGCTTAGTTTTTAAAACTGTTCCTGGATTATTTTAGGGAAGAATTTCACGTATAAAAGAGAAGTTAAATCTACAGTTAAGCATTTTTAATGCCTGTTGAAACAATATAACACTAAAAACAAAACTGAGTACTGTAGCACCAGTTGAAGATGTTTCCAACCACCATATGTAGTACCCACACCGTTACAGATTCGATAAATAGCCACCCCGTGAGTTGGAACCAAACGGAACATCAATCTGCAGGTGACCCCTTACATGTGCATCACACTTAGATGCTTCTGTTGGCTTCTAGCAATGGAATGCCTTTGATTCTTGTTCATTCACGAGTACTCTGGAGAGAGCTAGGAACACGAGTAGTCCATATTTTAGACAAACTTCCCCTTTTTAAAAACAGGCTCATTTGGGGGGGGGGATTCAGGGACAACAGACTCAAATCCAGGATGACTGGTTACACTAAGCACTTAAAGAAACTTGTTAAATTTCAACTACTCTTAAGTAACTTATCTGAATTAGTGAGACAATAATTTAGATCCTTTCAATTACCTTCTTACAATATTAAATAGTGAACTACCTTTTATAAAGGCTAAAAGTAATATTTATGTTCAAATAATTGTTTTTAACAGTTTTCTGCATTAAAAAAAAAACTTCACTTTTGATAAAATGTCAATGTAATACTTCTCTTGTCACTGTCTATCAACCTCTCACTGAACTTTTTGCTATCAAATCAAGTGTTACGTGCAAGAAAGAAACAAAGTTGTAGCATTACTTATCAATTCCACTTTACATATCATTTAATAGATCTTACAGCTATTCTTAATTATAATTCTAACAAAAAAAGTTCACCTAATGTGTGTATTCGTGTACAACATACTACACTTCAAGATTAAGAGACACCAATGTGACTTCTTATACTAAACACTTGCATTAACAATCATAGGCCTTTTCCTACAGTTATAAATTTTTATTTCATAAAGGTAGTGAAGCATAGCTGGTTATATTGGTCTTGTTAATAATGATTGCCTCCCTGCTCAACTCAAGAATGGTCAGAGAGTAGAATAATTTTTATATGTATTGGACAATTTCAACAGTAATGTTGTTTTTAAATACTAACTGTAATTAATTTTTGAATGATTTTCATTAACAGTGTAAATGCATGCAATTACTTTTTTTATATTGTGTAAGCAACTGCATTGTAAACAGACACTTACCGGGATGAGTAAGAAAAACCTTCTTGCAGTCGTTCCTGGTCTACGTTAAAAGAAAAATGTTTACCGATTTTTAAATAAATTATACATCACATTAAATGAAATTGCAACATTTACAAAAGTTCTACCATACTGACAGTTTGATTAGTAATTTAGCAAACAAGATGTTGAATATAATTAGAACTTTATCTTAAAATATCTTGCAAATTATAAAATATATATAGCTTAGTGTGTGTACTTTCATTATTAAGCAAACTTTTCCTTTCAGATAACCTATCATTAAAAATTTCTTTACAAATTATTATCTACTATAGCAGCTGAGAATAGATTAAGAGCACAAGTTATATTCTTGAAATATCTTGCTTACAAAAAAACCTAGGAGGGGACATGTTAACTTTAATTAAATTATATTCCTTTTATATGTTGACTAATGAGAATATAAAATATATTTGAATTATTAATACCTTGTGATTGGGAACTGAGTGTACAATCCTTGGCACCTTTACACCTTCTGAGCCTGTTTAACTTTTGCTTCATATCTTCTAGTTCAAATAATTCCAAGTTGTGCACTGCATTTCTTAGCTGCATGGTAAAAAAAATTTGGAACCAATAAACAATGTTGGAATGGCTATGAAAACAATTGGTATGTTAGACTTCATCATCATAATAATAATAATAAAAAAAATTGTCAGAGTTCCTTCTAGAATTAAGTTTTATTACTAAAAAAACTTAAAATTGCTTAGCTGCTGACTTGTATAGGTACTTAACTACAAGATCATTATATATTCTTTTTATAATTGTTTTTGAACAAGAAATAGTTACTTCTTTGTAGCTTTAAAAGTTAGTATTTAAACATGTTTTAATTCATTTTGAAAGAAAAATGTTACCAGTGTCTCAGTTGCTAGATGGGTACTACTGATATCTTTGTTAATTATTAGCATCAGACTATGAATTTTTATCTTCTGATAAGAACTTTGAAACAGTTTATTGAAAAATATCCTTATCTAGTAACATCAAAAGTTAACATTTTACATTTAGAGTTGGAAAAAGGGCTGCTTACACTTGACTATAAATATTTCAAAAATAAAAAAACAAATGAGCTTTCTCCATTAACCAATTGGTGAATACAAAGTAATCCATTTAAATTTTTTCTTACATTTTATATTCAAATAAAAAGTCAACAAAGTTTTGTTTCGACGTATGTATGACCAGACTGTATGGGGACTTCTAGATATCTTAGATCAGAAACATGAACTACCTTACTCAAAAGTTGGATCAAAGATGATGGAGAAAGTGCCAAAACTCCTTTCATGATACATATCCTCTATGTAGAGGACTAATCAGAAAGCAGGCACCTGAATGCTGAAATATCTTTGGTTGCTGTGATAGCCAAAGGTGAAGTAGCATATGATGCAACTATTTCAGACTATACTTGGCACATTACCTCAACTTCATTTATAATGTTCCAAATTAGAAAAATATATAATAATATTCAGTTTTTGTCTATCTTGAAAATGGGTGCAAACCTTACAATCTACGTGCATGTGCACTTCATTTCAATGGATGTAATTATACTTTAGTAAAACAACATACTTGTAGCTTATAAAAGTCCTTAAAAAGGCCTAACGTTGGGTCATAGAATAAGTTTATTGATTGATTGTATTTAAGTATGGTAAAGTTTAGCCCTAACTAAATTAAAGCAAAAAGGTACACAAGTTAGTGTTAATTTATCTCGTCAAATATAGGCTGTACATAATAAAGGCTTAACTAATGTTAGGCCTAAGACAAATGGAATTTAAATAGGTTTTGGTGTCTGTGGTTAAAATTCTTTTGTATTGATCTAGAAATCCTGTATTTACAAATTGTTTCAAACTAGCAGAGACCCACAAAACATTTGAGGTTAAAGTAGTATCTTTATTGCAACAGTACTTATTTAATTTAATTAGAGAAGACACTACATCAGAATGAGATGCGTAGTACTTTCATTCTACAAAAACATTACTATAAAGGTTGGAAATCCTTCACCAATACATTAATACTGACAAGTACATTTTGTAGAATTACAAAAAAAAATCTTTATAATTACTGATGAAATCTAAGACAGGGTCCCAAATAACAGAAGTTACATAAGAAAATGAGAACTGAAATACCATGGATCCTGAAACTAATACCATTAATTACTGCTTTTGTCGTTTGTGTTTTACATAGACAAATGAATGATTTCACTTTTTTTTTTTTCCTGGTCAGTTCATATGCTGAGTATTGTAACAGGCAAACACACAATTACTTAATATGATGTCATGGATGTAACCCTATTTGTAAGTAACCAGTAGAAAACGAGTTGGTAATTTGAGAGTTAAGCTGATACGTTCACTGTAAACAATTTGATTTGAAGATAATTTTGAATACGCATGTGACATTAGGTCACATATGCAAAAGCTGAAATAGAAAAATTGCAATCTAGTTTGGTAATTTCTAAAGACACTTAATTTTTGCTAATTTTGCAATATACAAATTTAAACAAAATATAATGTAAAAAGCCTGTAATGTTATGTCTTTAGTTTTGTCAAGGTCAAATGCAAATAATGTGCAGAATCTAGGTTACCCCCAAGATAAAGATTAATATTGAAAATGTCAAAGTGTCTACATTATTCAGCAAATGGGGGTTCTGTTTTTAATTTAATCAGTCTGGTGAATGAATGTTGGGTATCTTGTTCCATTCTTGGGCTAGGGCCATTCCACGTTTCTCCAGGCTGGTAGGTTGCACTGAATGATCTGATACTGCTGCTTAAAGTATGTTCAATAGGATTCGGGTCACGTGAACCTGGTGGCCAGTCAGTTTTCTCGATACTTCACCAGCCTGGCCCTGTATGGTCTTGCAATGTCATCCATTAAAATGAGATCTGGACCTATGGCTCCTTCGTATATAGTCTCACAAAAACATCCAGGATATCATCCCTGTACCTTTCTGAACAATGTACAAGTCTGTATGACCCCAGAGACTGATACCACCCCAAATCATCACTGACTCAGCTCCATACTGGTCATGTTCTATCACATTCACATCTGTGTCTCTCTCTCATTAGGTAATAACCAAACTTCAGTCCAGGCAGTATTTGAACTCGTCTATGAAGAGAACATTTGATCAAAGAGCCTGTGTCCAGTCGAGATGTCCCCTACACTATTGAAGCATTTGTTGGTGTGTCTCTCTCATTGGAACTGAAACTGCTAGTCTTCTTACTTTCAGGCTGGCTACATGGAGTCTGTTTCTCACTGTCTGGGTGGAGACTAAATCAGGAGCATTTCAGAGGTTTCTCTGAAGGCTTGTGGTATCCAAGGTCCAATTTGTACTTGCTGACATAACAAGATATTGGTTATACTGATGTGTTGTTGCCCCTTGCCAACCACCACTATGTCTTCTGTTTCTTGGAAGTAATTCAATGCCCTAGAAACCACACTTTGACAACTCCTAGTGCAGTGGCAACCCTTCTCTGAGACAACCCTTGTTGGAGCATCCCTGTTCCTCTTCAGAGCTTCTGCACACTCAGATGACACCAGTGTGGCATCAAAGTGCACTGAACAAAGCAGTAAAGCTACAGAATGTGTCCTGGAAGGGTCTACAGATGTCTAATTAAAGAACCATGCCATCCCTCCAATACTTTGAAAGTTCCAAGAAAAGGGGGGGGGGGTGACCATGTATTAGAGCCCTGCAAAGCTTTAAGATTCCATTCAATAGCTAGAGCTCTGATTTGATAGTTTTAAATCTACATCACTTCCAGTAAACTTTACAATTTAGCTTTTAATTCACCTATATACAGGAAACTATTTCCTTGTAAGTTCACTTTTCTACCATTGTTCTTAAGATGTTTAAGTACATTATATATTTTGTTCTCAGAAATATTTACTTTTATACTCATTATTAACTGTGTGTAGAAGCACTCTATATATAAATGAAAAAACCATTTTCTATTTGATTCAAAATTGAATCCAGCCTATATACCCTATAATCTAACTGCACAGCCAATTCTATTTAAATATTTCAGGATGATTCTATTCGTGATAAGATTAAAAAAACCTGAATTTACAAAAGTCACTAAACTTTAAACCATACTAAAACTTGGAAATTTTTGAAACATGCGAAATTTTAAAGATATCATTGAAAGATTTGGTAATTATTTACCTTTAAGATAATGAAAATACAGAAAAAAAAGCATCTTTTATGAGAGTAATTTAAAAAAAAATTATGCATCTAACTTGTGAAATCTTTGATCCTCAACTCAGTGTCATCAGATAAGTATATACATACATTAGTCTAGGCAGGTATTGATCTTTGTTTTTAAGACATGTAAAGCAAAGTTGTCTGTCTGTCTGGTGGTTTCATGTGACAAACTGCTGGGAGGAAATGACTGTTTATCTATTTAAACTTAATCTTTGGGGTATCCACTAGAGTTCCTGTACTAAATTGATTCAATCAGATTAATGGTAGCCATTTCAATGCTTACTACATAAAGTCCAATGCCAAAAAAAAGTGATATTTGATCCAGGCAGAGCATGGGGGTACCTTTCTAATTGCTCTTATTCAGTAGAAGCTGTAAGGCAAATGGTGTACAAGCATAACATTGTACCATCTCCTTGAATCAAATTAAATAAATGCTATGCAAGGCATAGATACAGTTGCTAGTGTACAGTATTTACACACACACCACTTTTTATTTATTTATCAATGGTTTAATAGAACCGCACTAGCTGTAAAGGTTGACAACAAATTACAGTGTCCTCAAAACAGTAAAAAGAAGCTAAATAAAAGTTAAAGTTGTACCAGATGTCAAAATTACAAAGGGTGCAATTTGTGAGAACACATGTGGTAGCAGCTCCCAAGTGGCATTGAAAGTACTTAGTCTCTTCAGTTATCCATCCAATGAAAGAAGAAAGATTATTGTACTGATGACTACAAACCAATGATGTATTTGGACCCAGGTTCTCTAGCCCTCAAAGTTCCAAGTCCAACTCTTCATCTGCTTTTCATGGCCAGTTGTTATCCTTTAGTAACAGTTAACATACAACTCTACTACCCCCCAGAGCCACAGCTACAGTACCATGCCTATAACTAGACAGTGGATGTGTAGTTGGACTCGGAACATTACAGTAGTGGTTCCAAACCTTTTTCACTCCATGGACTGAAAGAATCTTGGTAGAAAGATTACGGACTGTTAGAAACATATAGGTTTATACTACAGTATATGATCTATAGTTGTGAAGTCTGCAGAATGTAGAGTTATACATAGGATTGTAAAAACAAGCTTAAATGGATTTATAATTTTTATACTCCTCCAAAATTGTATCTTTTGTAAATTCTCTACAGCTGGTATAATTCTAATTTGTTTCTTAAGGTGAAATTTATTATATCTATCTATTTGGTTTGGATAAATTTAAAGGAGAGGAAATAATTGGCTTTCTATACAAGTTTTGTGTGTGTTTAATCAATGTATATATATATATATACATAATCAATTATTTTCCCAGAAACAGTTTGTCACAACCAAATATCACAAATGCGTAAGATAGCATGCCTTACACCGTGATGCATGCATCATCAGCCTCAGTCTTCATTCAAGAGTTAAGATAAAGTTTATATCAAACATTGCCTCAATCACAGAAATTATTTTCTCACTATAAAGAAAAAAGAATAAAGTTATAAGAATACCTGGTAGGGGTCTGTCCTGAGATCAAAATACATGGTAAAACCAGTTATAAATTCACAGTACAAGAAGTTGTGAGTAGAGTTAATAGTCCTTAAACACCAATATGTATTGTTGTTTGAGTTCTGGCAAAAGCAGAATGGACCATCTGTTGGAGAGAAAAAAATTCTTAAAGCTTCTTCATACCTACTATTTCTCGTTATAATAATAATAATAATAACCTTCCTTGGCATTTAAATTTTTTTTTCAAACAGTAATTGTAAATTCAATGTGCATGAACAGCTGCTATTTTTTTTCAAAATTAATATCTTTAAAAAATAAATCAATATTTCATTTATGATTAAATAGTAAACTCACTAAGTAATAAGATGAAGTGAATGATGTTATTGTTGATCTACTTGTGCTGTTTTTTTTTGTTATAGGTTAAAATGCTTTATAAATTGTTTTAATATAAAACAAGATATTGGTTTCACTTTTGGGAAATATTTCAAAAATGATTTAACATGGTGCACAGACAAACAAATAACAGAACAAGAATGTAGCTTATTTTAAATACTTTTATCTTTATCCTACTAATCTTGAAATTCTCACATGTCCATAATGGGGGTGTTTTCCAGTGGTTGTTATTATGTGTGAAACAATTCATTTTATCAGCATTACAGTCAAATCCTTTGTATTTGGCTTTACGACGATTCTTTTTCTCTTTCTTTTTCAAACGGGCCTCCTTTTTACGTTGACGAGCAAGTTTTCGAGCTTCACGTTGCTCTTGCCTCCATGCCTTCAATCTCTGTTGTTCTCTGGCCCAGGGATATACGATGTTATTAGGATAAGATGGTGATATGAAGTTTTAAATTTGTACACTTAATCTATAGTAAATGTATTTTGTCTTAGTACAAAAGTTACATGAAAAATTATGCAGTTTTATTTCATTACTCTGCTTATCAGAAGTAATCTAGGTATATTGTGGGCTGCCATGATGCATTAACTAACTGAGCATCTTTTTTAATGTGTGAGAAGACAATGTTTAGTTATTCTAAAATCTTCATTAAAGTTTGTGCCAAATGAACAACTACAGAACAACTTAAACTGCTAACATCAATATTATGAAACTCGTTATTTAATACTTTTTACTGTAGACTCAACACCAAAAATAACTATTTTTAATATTTTTTTTATACAGCTTTATCTTTGTCAGTGTGCAAGTTACTGTAGTTCAGATATTACATAGTTAGTTTACGTTTGATCAAAAGTTCTTAATAATTAGTATTATTAATCAGGAAGGTATTAAACTCGACTCAAAGCATAAGACTAACCATATAATGACATATCTGTTAACACAATGCTGTTAAACTTTGCTCTGCAAAAATCAAGGAACACGCAATAAGAAGTACATTTTACTTCATTAAGGCTTTGGATTTAGTATCATCCTACTCTTTAATAAAAAGACCTCTACTGTGTTTTAAGGTTAAACAAGATGTAATAAAGAATTTTAAACTGAAGCTTGAAGACCCAAATATAGACATTAACAGAGAATTTTGTCAAGAAGAACCAATTCTCTTCAATAATATTGTTCAACATGAACTTTTTTAAACGATGGAGACACTGTTGCTATGAAATCACTGGAGAGTGTTGACGGTGTGAGTTAAAAGCTACTTTGATAATCATAATCTCTACTTGAATTTATATTTGAAAAGAAATCGTATACGGTTGATACTTGAAACTGTCAGTGATTATTATTATTACAGACTGGGGAAAAACAAAGATATTTTACAAAAACTCAGTTTTTAATGACCATGGTTTCACTAGTAAAATACATCATCAGGTAAAGACTGAAATGGTTTGTAAATAGGTTTATATATGTAGTTTAGCAAAAGAAACCTTGAGACAAGTGGGGAGGAGCTTAAGTTCATTTGGTCATTTAGAACTTTTTCTGGATTTGTTTTTAGACATTATTTATTTTACCTTTTTCACAGATATGTAAATTTTGCAATTTTTTTCTGGATCAAATTTACATTTAGTTTCAATAAGGTGGGATGTAAAGATTGAGTCCATTTTCCTTAATTTCCAGCTTCTAGAATTTTCTTTTATTCTCGTTTCTATGGAACGTCCTGTTTGACCTATGTAGACACTATTGCAATCTCGACACAATAATTGGTAAACACCACTCTTGCTGTATTTTTTGATTCTGTCTTTGTTATACAACATTTTTCATAGGTTTTTTTGTATAGTAGAAGGCAGGTCTGTAGATTTCTTTGTTCATTGTGTGTTACATATTTTGTAAGAAGATTTTCCATTGTAGCTTATCTTAAGCCTTTTCTTTTGTTGTCATTTGGTACAATATGTAGGTATATTGGTTTTAAGTTTATGGCTTTTAATTTTTGTAAACAATGTGTTAACTAACTTTATTGTATAACCATTGGTGACAGCAGTTTGTTTTGTTATCCTCAGATGACAAGTTGTACAGAGATAAGCTTGTGTAACAAACTATGGAACACGGCAAGTTAGCGAGATATTGGATGTCTTAAAGAAGCATGTATGATGGTGTCACTATAAGTCAAATACTGACATAGATTTGTGAATATTTTGAAGGAATGTATGCCATTATTTAAGTACAAAAGATTAAAGTTTCCATTTTCACCAAATTCTATAGTAAATTTAATAAATTTGTTATGTGAATTTAGAAAAGTTACAAAATTATCAAGTTGATGTTTGGAGCCTGTCCAAACACAAATCGCATCATCAACATATCTGTACCAATGTTTCACATTTTATATCATTTTCATCACTAAATAATTTCTTCTCTAAGTTATTCATGAAAACTTCTGCAAACAAAGGAGAGGGAGGGGACCCACCCCCACTCCTAACTAACCTGTCATTTTTTTTTATACATTTGGTCATTAAATTTGAAGTAGTTCTGTTCTAAGCAAGTGGTTATTAATGTTTTTAAATCCTGGACTTGAACAGTTACTTTTTCCTTATCCATTAAATCACTAACAGTTTATTTACATTCATTAACAGGTATAGAAACTAAATAACTATTTGATCCAGAAAACAAAACAAATTTTACATATCTGTGAAAAAGGTAAGAAACTAGATAGCCTGGAAATTTTAGAAATAAATAGAAGTCCAAACCAACTTAAGCTCCTCCCCACTTGTTTCAAGGTTACTTCCCATTCTTTGGTTAAACTACATATATAAACCTGTTTACAAACCATTTCAGTCTGTACCTAATAATGCCTTTACTGGCAAAACCGTACTAAATGAAGTTTTTGGGAAATGTACAATACATTTTGTTTATTTCCTCAATTCTATAAATGGTACATAAATTTATATAAAGACAAAGGGGTGAAGAAGTTTCCCACTCTCCAGTAAAGATGAATATACAGAACATTCGAAACATTTATGTATTAGCCTTTGGATCTTCTAACTTCTAGGATTGTCAGGAGGAAAAGGCCTGAGGAAGAACAACCACCAAGGGAAAAAGTAGATAAACAAAAAGGTATAGGTTTAGAATACTGTTTATGTATGGCCAGAGATGTCAATTGTGTGTGTGAGAGGGACAATTAAGCCCCCCCCCCCAAAAGGAAGAAAACATGATAATAAAAGCACAAGTAAAATCTAATACTAGGCCATGTATTACCCTTTAATATATTACAAGAGCTTCCAGGGTCCTCATGGTCATTAAACCTTTGTCAGAATTTGCTCCCCCCAATTAAACTTCATATACCATTGCTGCTTGTAGCTTAAACTATAACACACGTTATTTTTGGCTTATCTTGCAGATAAGAAAATCACAAAAAGTTTAATAGTGGATACCCAATGCTTACCTACATACACACCAAGAAAACAAAAACAAACTGATGTCAATGTTTAGCCACAATTCTCTTTCAACTTACAAAAACATATTCAGACTTTTTTTTATTATTATTCATTAAGTATGCACACAAGATAATCTTTCTTGGAGATAGAAAAACAAACTTACTCATCATCATCACAGTGACATCTTTGACCATGACCCACTGGATAATCTACTTGTGGGAAATATCCACTGCTTTGAGGACGCTTCTTCTTCAGTTGACGACGAAGTCCCTTTAGCAATCAGAGATTATACTGTAGACCTCAAAGAACAAGTTTACATCATTCAGCATATACTAAAACTTGTGTTAACTATTTATTTAGTTTTAACAAGGTTTCATTTTTACCAACTTTTTCACTACAGACACAAAGAAACAAGTATGACATGATTATGCAGCATACTAACGAGTGTGTTGAGAACAATTAATTTCTTCAGTATTTAAAATGGTAAAACACTGAAGGTAGCCTTAAATTGTATAATCTCTAAATAACAGATCAGTCTAGATGATTTCAGACTTATAATATTCCACAGTAAAGAATGAAAAACTACTAACTGGATAAACTTTGTGTAGCCTGTTTAGGATTTTAACACTAAAAGTCTTGTACACTAAAAAGTAATTTTTTTAATAAGGTATTTTTACTAAGGATTAGTCTGTGAATTTATGATGACTTTCCTGAACTAGTCTGAGTACAAGATGATTTTTTGTGTTATGAGTAAAAGTACTTTTATTAATTTTAAAGCTTTCGTACTTATTTTGCATAACCTCCTAAATGAATATCGAAAGCTTTTTTTAAATAAAACTTTATATTTGTTATTTTCCCTACCATAACATAACCTGCAGCAAAATCACCGATGTACAGTAAAATGTAAAGTAACAAAATATGAAATAAAATGAAGAGTTACTTTTTCTTTCTTTTTTAAAATTAATCATTTTGCTGGATTAATGTTCTTCTTATCGTCACAGTCTCAACTTTCAACCTTTCCACATCCGTTTTCTTTAAGATTTTACTGCTGTATGTCAAACCCACTTGAAAAGTAATCCTCCTGTTAACTAGCAATAACTCACAGTTGATGATGTATCATAAATACCATAAGCAAAGTGAAACTGTAACAACATTAGACCTCAGTTTCACTTCTTCAAATAAAAATTAATTTAGCTTTAAAGTATGCATTTAAGAACACAAGAAATGTATCAGCAACTAGTACAGAATGTCCCAAAACTAATAATATAATATAAAAGGCTTTCCAACTAACCTATAAATAGGTTTACAAAATCTGTTAGCTACTCAGAACTGAACAATAATCATCATACATAAGCCATCTGTGGCCAATTGTCCATACCTGCTAGCAAAAAAAGGAGGAACTGTAATAAGATTCTAGTAGCAACAAAATCTCTCTTTCTATTGGTTATAAACATACTCATCAAATAAGGACATGTGGTATAGATAAATTCTTTTAAAGCTACGATAAGATGGTAGAAGGTTCACATTTTACGTTCTTGTCTGTTTATATCTATAGTTTGCGCTTCTAATAGGTTGTATACACTGAAGCCCATAAAAGAAAATATAAAAAGGGGGAGATGCATCATGGGACACAGAAGTGAAGATTTAAGAAGTTTATTTAAATATCTCCTTTTGAAATTAACATATTAAAACTTACCATTAAAACGTAGTTTATAATTCAGGAGTTTTAATGCTACGTTTTTTTTTATTATACATTGATAATATTGTTTAATTAAATTTTGAAAGTAACTCGCTAAGAGGTCATGACCAAGCAAAGGTCATAGATTTAATCCCCAGTAAAAAAGAAAGTTCCTAATAATGCTCTTTCATACCTTCAACTCATATAGTTTATGCCTCAAGTCCTTGATTGCTGTGTCTAGCTGATTTTTATTCTTCCTCCAAATCTTTTGGTCGTAATAGATGGGATCTACACAGATAACAGAATTACTAGAGAGTGCTACACAGCCATGTGGGTTGGATTTGGAATGATATCCATCTGACACAGACCTCTGAGCAATTCTGTGATGGGTATTTTGGTAGGTAAGAGCAGAACTTTTATCGAACTCCGAGCTTTTTAGGTAATCCTCGTGAAAATCCATAACATGATTAGTAGTGTTCACCTGGAACATAAACAGGCACACGTGATGAAAAACAGACTTCACTGCATCTACTGCTTGAGGAAGAAACTGTATAAATTCATTCTATAGTAATATATGACAGTATTGGTGACTAATTCAAATTATAATCTTTCAACTTCAGCACTTCAAAGACTTTGGACAAATTTGTTAAAATAGCAAACACAAATGCTTAAACATTCGAATTACCAACTTGTTACTGTAACATTCACTACAAGTGAGGTTCACATATTAATAACATTTCACAATACTGCTTACAGTTTTCTACAACAAAGAGCATCTCTAGAAAAGTTAGGATGTGTAGGTGAGGGAACACTGAAAAGTTAGGATGTGTACGTGAGGAAACACTGAAAAGTTAGGATATGTACATAAGGGAACACTAAAGCATAGAGAAGTTCACCAATCCAAGTAATGTAAAACTGAAGGTGAAAAGTTACCTGGTCCTATTATTTATCTGCAAATATTACTATCTTCAAGTGGTACATAATGAATAAGCTTGTAAATTTTATGTACTAAGATACCTGTGTACCATGTTGTGTGTGTTGTAAACTGGCATGGAAAGAATTTGTTTGCTTTTGAATCTTGCACAAAGCTACATGTACATCTGTCTCTAATTTTGAAGTGATAGACTAGAGGGAAGATAGCTAGCCAATACGACCCACCACAAACTCTTTGGGTACTCTTTTACCAATAAATAGTGAAATTGACTGTCACATTGTATGCTCCCACAGTTGAAAGGATGAACGTGTTTGGTGACGGGATTCGAACCCGTGTCCTAACCACCAGGCCAAGACATGGAAAGGAGAACTTCAAATTAAAACACACACACATTACTTCTCACTCTCTATTATAAACTTACCTGTAAAATAGATCAAATTATTTCATAAGGTACCATGATGTGAAAAGTAGAAAGCTAAGCCAACTGTGCACTATAAGTATTCATATTAAGAGTATTTGTCTATTTATCTGAAAACTTCATTTTGAAAGTTGAAAACAAGAGAGTAAATTATATTAAAACATTTCTGAATATGGAATTCAGCACTTCACTTGACAATCGCAGCCAGAACTAAATTTTGGCATTTTATAGGTATGTAACACCACTGGAAATTGATTGTTGTTTGGAAAGAGTATGTAACAAAATATTCACACACTAAGATCAAAAGATGTGCTGAGATTTAGGATCTAATTATCCAAGAATGAACACCTTTTGTACTTTAATGGCACTGGAAAACAAAGCAATATTGGTCAACATGGTGAACCAGGACCATCCAGAAAGAAACATGCAACAATTTGTATACCAGCCATGAGTAGATCAGTGTCTTGTAACAGTTGAGAATCCATGAACACAAAGGTCATCCATGTGCCCCAGGCAACAGTACACAATATAACCAAAAATGATTTACCTCTGAAAACAAGGTCAACAGGGTGTGGGTTCAGCAAGATAAAGCTTCCAGTGATACCTCTCATTCAACAAGTACAGATGTTAACTAGTGTGCTACTATAGGCACGGGTCTTAACAAGTGTGTTACTACACCTGTAGTTTCAAGAAGTGCTTTACTACAAGTATAGTTTCAAAATATCTGTAATTCTTATTATCATTCTTCTATTCCTTGATATATAGAAATGAAATTGAATGATTGTAGACTTTCTTGTTGTTCATTTACAAAACTTAGTTAAACTTATCTTTATTCAAAGTAATAAGCATTAATCAAACAAAAGTAAGTAAGAATAATTCCTAATATTATTTTAGAACTTTTTTTCCCTTTCTTTACCTGTGATTTCATATCATCCTTCACAGTGAGATCTAGCCAGTGTGATAATTGTACGACACCATTCACATCAAACTTTTGTAATGACTCTGGAACAAAAACTTCCCTTTTTCTGCGAGAGCCAACAAAAATAGATCTGAAGCCTTAAGAAAAAGAATGGATTATCATTACAAGAAGAACCAAACAAATTCAAAGTTGAAAGATCGTGCATCTTATTAAACATATAACACATGCTCTAAATTCAAGTAAAACTATCAAATAAATAAATTAAAAAAATAATATAAAAAAATCTTAAAGCCAGCCCTCATCATTCATACAGTTGTTAAGCTTTCTCTTAAATTTACTGCCTCCACAACATCTGAAGGCAACTCATTCCAAAAGGCCAACCACCCTGTTAGAAAAATAAAAACTGTCCTTGTTGAAAATGACTCCTACCTTGCCAAAATTTATATTTGTGTTCTCTAATCCAACTATTCTTGCCATTAAGTATGAAAAAAGATGATGTATCAACACTATCAATTCTCTTTACAATAACACCTCAATCAGATCCCCTCTAACTCTTCTTTTTTTCAAGAGAAAACAATTTTAAAGATCTTAATC